TGCCTACTCAGGCTATTGCCCCCCAAAAAGGTTTATTGAAAAGTTAGAATTTGTGTCAAAAAGGTCACAAACACAAATAAACTTTTAAAACTTTAAACATATTTCTTAACCAGAGTACAGAACAGAAAACAAAAAAAAAGTAACTGTTTACATGGACTCTGCTAGAGATAAAGTCGTACAAACAACCAGTTGCTAAGCCAGAGAGCACCAATGGACAGCACATCTGCTGATTATCTGAATATTTGGAGACATACTTTCCTCAGCTTAAAGTATCACTTGAAACTCCAACATTAAAAACTGATAGAAAAACAAACAAACTCAAAACTCTGAAACTGTGACAATGACAAAAGTAATTTCAGAAGAGAAATCAAAGCAGCAAGTGATTCGTGAGAGCATGTTTGTATGCCCACGCACTAAAATCTTTGTCAGATATAAAGAACTATATGGTCATAACAAAAAATTTGTGGGAATATTACTAAGAGTAATAATACACTATTAAAAACAACATGCAAGTGACCGCATTCTTTGTATGCTATGCCACTTCATTTGTTCCAGAATAAATGTTTCTTTACTTTATATTCCATATGTAAAAGCAATCATCATTACTCACCACAGCAATTTCCTTATGAAACTTGGCCTCAAGGCTAGAGACATTTTTGAAGGTATTGACATAGAATCCAACTCGTCTACCAAGAGGAAAGAATGGAAGGGAAAGACCAGTGAGCAAAACTGTATTTTAAATAAATATTTATTGTTGAAAGTATTACATATGTCCTCCCACTTCCCCCATTGACCCCTTCTAACCTGACCCTGCTCGAAGCTCAGGCCTTGACATTATATAAACATACGTAAACATATATTAATAAAGAAAACCATGGTAGAAGGTGCTTGGGAAATAGTAAGTACTAAAGAGAGTCAGACCGGAAGCCAAGGAGACAGAGCCTGGTGGTATAGACCTGTGCTCTGAGACAGAGGACCTTCCTGACTGCAAAGCACAGTGTTTATCTGCAGGCAATGGTTATTGGTGGCCTCTGGCCACGTTTGCGAGAGGGGAAAGGAGAGGGCCTGGATGTGCATTTGAGAAAGTAACTAAGGCAAAAGCTGCATGGGAGGGAAGAGACTGCAGATGCCGACAACCGTGCAGGGGACCCGACTCATTGTACTGTTGGCAGAGAAGTCTTCTTGGGCACTTTATGTGACAACTCAGCACCCCTTTTCCAGGACCCCAGTTAACCAGTCAGTGATTCCTCATACCTCCCCTCCATTACTCAACAAAGGGCTTATCCAACACTGGGTGCATGCCTGGTGGTGGGATAAGGTGGCTCCAAGAACTAGCAATCTCACTAGAGGAGACTGATTAATGAACACAGGCTCCATTAATACTGGTAAGGGAAAGAAGCAGGGTGTAAATGTTAAAGTTATCACAAAGGCCATACATGACTAAATATCAATAATAACTAGATCGGACAGAAATAGCTAAAGAAACTGGAGAGGTGAGGGGAATAAGGAGTCCTGTGCCAGCTGTGAACATCTGTTTGAGAAGACAAACGTAGGCTGTCCTCAAGAGCAGGTCAGATTTAAACAGAAGGTGGGTGCTGATGGGGGGAGGTAGCTGAAGTTGATTGATGAGTACTGTTTTATTTTCATTAATATGTCACTATGATGAACCAAATCCTAATGAAGATCTATGAATTAAAATGTGCACAGCTTTACCATTTATTTCCTTAGAATAAGTTTCTTGAGTGTAAATGCTATGTGAGAGGGCATCCTTGTAAACTTCAGGGTTAAGGGAAATTCTCCTAATGCCTTTAATTGAGATTTGAGTCTCCACTTGATAACTATATCAAGGTTTAACTGTGACATCCAATATGGCAACTGCTAGCTACATGAGGTTATTTAAATCTAAGTGAATCAAACCTAAATAAGCTTAATTTAAAATTCAGTTACATTCCAAGTACTCAACAGCCAGCCACATGTGGCAAGTATCTCCCATATGGGAAAGCGTTGACATAGAACACTTCCACTGACAGCGCTGAACTGTCACAGGCAACAAGGACAAGATACGGCATATTCACTGTATATTCACTGTTCTTAAACTTCTAAAAGGGACAGGTACAACCTGTACAAGAACATCTTTACCTTGACCATAACGATGGTAACTCCTCTTGCAAGTCAACGTTAAACTCTTCAAACACTTTCTGTGCTTTCTGAAATTCCTCTTCTGCCTAGAAATGACACATAACATGTGTTTACACTAAAAAAAAATCACATAACACAAGCCATTTCAACTTAATCATCTATACTAATAAAAGGGTAATATGCAAATGGTCAGGATGCCCTCACCCATAACGACCAATCAGCTGGAGGCTGTGTGCGCAGCAGGCATGGTGGGCGGGGACTTGCAGCTTCAGGGAGGGGAGGTGGGGCATGGCTGAGGCCTCTCCATGTGCCTGCATCAGGGGTCCGCAGGCCTCCGCGGTGGCCAGCCCCAGGGGTCCACAGGCCTTCCCCGGCCTACCTCTTTGGGGCAATCCATCAAGGAGCCCCAGATGGGTGGGCAGGGCCTACCTCCTTGGGGCAATGGATCACGGGGCTCCCACACTGTAACAGGGCACAGGCCAGGCTGGGAACCCCTCCTCCCCTGAGTGCACAAATTTCATGCACTGGGCCACTACTAGTTTAATATAAAATAGGAATAGCTTTATGGAAGCCTGAAAACATTTTGGGTAGAAGAAAAATCACTCTGCTTATTACCTACATATTTTTTTCAATAAATGTGAAATATTAAGTTTTAGGAAAACTGAATTAAATATAATGGGCTCTTACATTCTCTGGCAGATTCATTCATTCTATAAAAATCTGTTAACGGCCTGTTACACACGGCTCTGGATGTGAATATGGATGCTTCCCTAAGAAATCCCCAGTCTAGTGGGAAGTCTAAATTACATTGAAAGACAGGACTTGTAAAATGTTATGAAGTATGTTGTTGTGGAAGATGGTGGAAAGAAAGGCTCCATAGAGAAGGTAATATTTTTTTAACTGAATCTTGAAGAAGGGAGAGGCTAAAGCATTGCAATATGTAAAGATAGAGTTCCTTGGGTTGGAATTTCAGTGCACGAACCTTGTGAATTTGTCTTATCACTTTTTACCTCAGCTACCTCATTCATAAAATGGAGGTAGTAATGCCCACTGACAGGTGGTGGGAGTATTAAGGAAAGGTGACGTGGATGAAGTGTTGAACATGTGGCTGGTACCTCTGAGGCCTCACATGAAGAACAGCTGTTATTGTGGCTGCTCAGGAACTGATATGTAGGTCATGGAGCCTCTAGCTCAGGATGAGTGCACAGAAGGAGAGGAGAGGGAAAAAATTCATGGAAGTTGATAAGGATAAAGGGATGAGTCACAACCAAATAGAGAAGGTTGCACATGCTGTGCTAAGCAATTTAATTTTTTTCTACAGGCAATGGAAGCCATTAAAAGACGTAAGCAATGAGAAACATATCTAAATATGTGCTGTAGGAAGACCAGGCAGCTGTGTGTAGGCAGAGAGGAGGAAGCAAGACTGGAAGAGAAGGGAGTAGTTATCAGGTGTCATAAATTAAGTGGCATCTGTAAATGTATGACATACTGTAAAAGTTACTAAAATGGGTTTCCTAAAGAAAATGAATGCTATGCAAATCTAGCACATGTCTGTACTCTCAATCACAAGTTATGTCTGAGATTTTCAAACTCAGTTCCCTATCTGCATCTGCACTTTAGCATCAGGGTGGAGCACAAACACAGAGAGAAGTACAGGAACACACTACTTTCTCTGATCCTACAGCATTGTTGGGGGGCCAAGTCTACTCTGATCAAAATGCACGAGTCGTGTCACCCCTGAGAACTCGACAATAATATCAGAAACCTTATCTTCAACTCAAAATTATGGAAAGAGGCCCACAAGCGCCATGTTTCAGTTTAAACTCCGTCCTGATCCCAATATCCTTTAAAAAGGAAATATTTCATTTTTAGAAGCAAAGTTGCTATAGGCCACAGAACATGGAATGGTTTCAACAGAAAGATCACTCCCTACCTTAGAGATTCGACTCTCGTCCTTCCTCTTGGAGCTCTGCAAAGCCTCCAGGTGGTGGCGGGCACTGTCATAGTCAACCAGCTTCCTGCTGCGCTTGGCGATGCGATTCTGCCGATGGAAAATATGTGCGTGAAGAAAGAGACCTGGTGAGATATATTTTTTAATTTATTTTTTTTTTTACTGCTAAAATGCTTTCTTTGTCCAGAGTAGCTGAGATCTTAGCTGGAGATCAAGGTGAACTGGAATTTTAGTAGATAAGTGACCCCTGGAAATCAGACTACTGCCTTCAATCATTTGTGTGAAAACCATTAGGTAAATAGCTTCCCTTCTGATAAAAATCAAACCAGTCATGAGGAGTGGAAAGCAGAATTTATAGTCAAAGACCAGAAAAAGTCTAGTCGTGGTTGAGAGAAGCAGGTAAACCTATTCACTTGATTAGCCTGTATTTTAAATCTTTAAATGTTCTATTTTCAAAATAGTAGAAGACTATAGTAGAATTAGCTTTATAATTCTAATTACACTCGCACCAACAGCAGTTCTACAAAGCAGATTTATAAAGCAGTTCTATATTTATAAAGCAGTTCTCTAAAGTAGATTCTTAGGAATAAAAATCCTTTTTCTTAGACATGTTCCTCAATCTGTGTGTTCATTGGAGTCATCTCAGGAGTTTAAAAAAGACATGGATTCCTAGAGACTTCTGCCCTCAGGACACAGAGAGCTGCAAAGAATATCCCTCCCACATAAACAAGAACAAATCTGAATACTCCATAAGGACATAATTTTCTTGATTGTATCAGAGACCTGAGGTCACAAGGCAATAAAATAATCTGAATTCTAAAGAGGGACAAGTCCCTCCAATGAAAGAAGAGACATGCGAGCCATTTCACCTTGGCAGGGTACAGGTAAAAGTTGTCTCCTAGATGCAAATGGGTAAGAAGAGGCCAACTAAAATTTTAACAAATCATCAAAGCCTTAGTGGTGGCTAATGTCTAGTTTAGAATAGTTGGGTGTCAAGACACAAGGGGACATCGCATTTATGGGGAGCCCTTTCCTTGGGCCTCTACTGGATGTATCAGAAGGTTGAGGACAAGAAACTCCCTTGCAGCGTGGGGAGAATGAGGGGACCTCTGACTGCTGGGGGAGGACACACAGCCCTAACCAGTTCCACGGAACTTCTCCTCTTACAAAGCAAACGCTTTAAGCTGTTGGAGGAGACAGCAACAGATCCTCTCGCCTGCAGAGGCCAGATCTGCTGCTTCTGAGAAGTAGAAGCAAAACCAATCTGCTCTGGTGACAGGACAGAACCCCTCTGGCCCCTAGAATGCCTGCAGAGATAACTGCTACCCAGAGGGTAAGTGGCTACCCACGTGGGAAAGACATAACATCTTCTTGTGTACAAGATATGACAGAGGGGGGTTCTCACGAGGGCAGAGGCAGAAAACTACTGTTCAAGACCAACCACAGGTACACGGTAAAGTCTACCTAACACAAGGACAAGAGAGTATAACAGAAAACAGCCCTGCTCCCACTACCAGTCTAGTACTGAAAACAAGCGATAGTTGCCTACCACTGGAGGAAAGACAAGTTCACAGCGAAAGACCACATGCCCTCTGCAATGCAGGCATAAAAGGACAACTTAAATCTGATGGGGAGCAGGAACACTGAGAAAAACTCTCTGGCATCCACTGGCCCACAATATGTGAGTCAAAAAAGAAGCAAAAACTAGACTTCAACTTAAGAGTCTGAAAACATTATAGGTGTTAGCACAAGCACAAAGCAGTATAGCCCATAAAGCAGTGGTTCTCAACCTTCTGGCCCTTTAAATACAGTTCCTCATGTTGTGACCCAACCATAAAATTATTTTTGTTGCTACTTCAGAACAGTAATGTTCTACTGTTATGAATCGCAATGTAAATATCTGATATCCAGGATGGTCTTAGGCGACCCCTGTGAAAGGGTCATTCAACCGCCAAAGGGGTCGCACCCACAGGTTGAGAACCACTGCCATAAAGGATTCTGAAAGCCAGAGTGCACTGAAAGTAACAACAGTGACAACAAAACCCAAACCCAGCCCAAGTTACAGTGACACTGATTTGAACTCCCACACCAATAGTCTGACGAAAAAAGACATAAATATTACTTCAATCTTTACTTTTCTATATATGCTGTGAAGCATTCAATAAAAAATTATGAAATAGGACCCATAAGAAATGAGTAACAACCCATAAGAGAAGATATTAACCTCTAATTTGTCCAGAATTGCTTAGGAAGTCTGTTCCAAATGATAAATTAGATAACAGCTCCCCTACCCACCAGTGCCTAGAGGAGGGTGAGGCAAGTGAGACACCTAGGGCACAAATCTTAAGAGGCTCTCACCCTCAGGATCATGTAAGTGCAGGATCACCAACCAGGAAGAGGTGCTTCCTAATCATTTTGAATCCTAATGGCCTCACTTGCCTCACTCTGTCCCAGACCTACTCCCAACTCTTGGTAGAACTTCTTCTACCAGCTCCCATGTTTCTCTGGCAGACTATCATTCAATTATTACCATCTGTCACCCTATGATATTCCTCTACACCCCCTGCAGGGCTGGTGAGAGGTGGGCTGGGGAAGTTTCTCTCATTCCAATCTCTTTCATTTTACCCTCTGTACCTACCATTTCCAGCTGTTGTTAGTAGTGGAAAGTATGGCTGACATACCACATTCACTTAAACATATGTGACGAATAAGCCCAGACAGGGTAAAAAGAGTCCTTCAATAAAATATGGTGGATACAATGGCCTATGGGATGACAGAGCTAATCATTTTTAGCAAATATCTGTTAAATCCAAAGGAAAACTGTCCTTTGAAACAGTGGCCTGTGTAACTATAGGCAAACTTATATAAAGCTCTTCTCTGTGGACTTTGCTCCAAGAAGCAAAACCCTGATTCTCTGAAGATGAATTAGATTTTCGAAAGCAGCCAAAATTCAATTACTTCCAAGCCTGGGAATAAGATGAAATAGTGCACTGGGTCATCTTAGATTTTGTTCAAAACAAGAAGTGAAGTAAATAATGTGACTTATTTTCCTGTGCGACAAGTCAATTACAGAGTACAACTCACCATGTAGAAGTGACTATGTTGAAGGCCATTCCTCATTTTGATGCAGACAGTTTTGCATTAGAAAAACAAATCAATCTTATTTCCTTATCTATCTGATACTTGGAAAACTTGAAAAAAGAGAACCGAATCTCCTAAGTAAGGGTAGAGTTAATGCACTTTAGCTTTTATATAGAAAATGATACAATTCTTATTTCATCCATCCAACCCAATCTAAATTTCTTTAGATTTCCCACTGTGTACTGACCTTATGCAGTAAAAAAAAAAAAAAAAAAAAAAAGTATTTTACTGCATTTTAAAAATTTCAATAATTACCCCAGTTTGAGATTCATTTTGGCACCATGCTGTAAATATATAATTAGTTGCTCATGCTTGGTCGCTAGATAGAATCTAAACTACATTTTACAATAACTGCTCACAGCTGTAAGCCTGCCTGGGTTAGTGACAAGCTGGCTCTTATTGCAACATTGGTTTCAGATATTAATGCTGCATAATAAGAACCATTACACTGGGGGCCCTGCCAATCACAGTTGGAGAAGTCAAACATATCCCCTCATGAAGGGTACTCCATAGACCTCACTGATGAGCTGCAGTAAATATTTGGAAATTTGCCTTAAGTTTTATGACACATGGCCTGTTGATTTTAATGGGAGGGAAGGAAGTCAACTGTGTTCCATGCTGTGAAAATTCTCCACTCAGTATTTTTAATCATAATCCTCCTTTCCATTAATAACGCATTCATTCCATAACCACTTGGCACTAACTTTTTAAAGAAATCAAGTCTATATCTACTTCTAACTTCCTTTTCAGAGAAGAAAAGTCTTTCAAGTATCAGAAACAGCTACCCCCGCCCCCAATTCCAAACTGTTGCCTTTCCAAGTTAAACACTGCTATTTCCTCAACTCTTCGTCATAGGACACGGTTGCACAATGTTCTCTCTGGGTTGAAACTCTATGTGTATGCTACGGCAAGAGAGAGAGATTGTTTCAGCCTGGTTCTATGATACAGGTAAAACCATGACATGTATTTCATTTATCTTCAGCGTATCAACACAGATATTATTCCCAAATCTCTAGGGTAAAGACATTTCAGTAACTGGAGGACCATCTTTGTGCATGACCTCAAGAAAAGAACTGCTAAGTAAAAGTGCTACTGAGTCCTTCATCTTTCTGACATGGAACACGCTAAAAAGACATAGTCCATCATGATTTTATTTTAATCTCCATATTGCAATGCAGGTACTTCTGTGTGCATTTGTCTTCTGAAACATGGCCAATTTCCAAGTAGCTATTGCTGGGCAGTACCATAACAACTAAGATTAAGATTCTTTTTTGTTGTTGTTAATCCTCACCCAAGAATATTTTCCATTGATTTCCCCTCCCTCGCCCCCACCCCCTTAGGGAGAGTGGAAGAGAGAGGGAAAGACAGAGAGGAACAGTGATGTGAGAGAAACACATCCATTGGTTGTCTCCTGCATGAGTCTGACCAGGGCCCGGCTGGGGAGGAGCCTGCAACCAACGTATGTGCCCTTGACCAAAATTGAACCCGGGACCCTTTGGTCTGCAGGCTGACGCTTTATCACTGAGCCAGACCAGCTAGGGCAAAACTGAGATTCTTCACATTTTTTTGATGACACTACATTTTTGCTGTGAAACTCAACAACTTTTCTTATGTGTCTTCTATAGTCAGTCACTACCTTCATTGGTTTTGCGAAGTCATACTATGAATAGTATATATGAACAATTTAGACACATCGTCACAAGCTGCTTGGAAAATTTCAAGTAGGAGGACAAAATTTTCCTTTATCCTCTTCTAATTAATTGGGAAGTTGTTTTTGTGGAGGTTAAATTGCCATGCAGTAAATGATATTTTAAAGTGTGATAATGATTCTGAGACTATTTTCTTCACAAATGCTATAAATTCCAAGATGAGATCTGAATATTATCAAATAATTTGAAGATAGCCAAAAACATGCTTCCTGTAGGCTAGTGCATGCAGTTTTACAGAATTGAAAAAATGTTTTTAATTTAATTTTTTAATGTTTTATCAAATTAAAAAGGCTGACATTTACCTTTTAATTGGATATACTTAGGCAATGGCTCAATAAAGCCTTCTGCTGCTGTCACGATGACTTCTTGAGAATCTATCATTTGGAGTTGTTCTCTGTGACATTTTGCCAACAAGGCTAATGTATCTAGTCTAATCCACTTAGGTTCTTGATGGGTGCCCCTGGTATCTCAAAACACACTTTTGAGATGTTGGCCAATAGTGTTAGGAATTCTGGGTGGGCCCAAGAAAACTAATTTATTGATATGAAGGCTCTTTTGGCCAAGACGCTTCACTATGTTTCATGGCCAAGGCCAGTGCACATTACTGCAGCTAGTTCCCTGGTGTTGGGCAATGGCTCCAAAGAAGGCCAGGTAAGAATGAAACTGCCCTAGCCAGTTTGGCTCAGTGGGTAGAGCATTGGTCTGTGGACTTGAAGGGTCCCAGGTTCGATTCTGGTCAAGGACACATGCCCAGTTGCAGGCTCAATCCCCAGTAGGGGGTGTGCAGGAGGCAGCCGTCAATGATTCTCAATGATTCTTGCTCATCACTGATGTTTCTAGCTCTCTCATCCTCTCCTTTCCTCTCTGAAATCAATAAAAATATATATTTTTTAAAAAAGAATGGAACTTCCCATCAGAAGTCACCTAATAAGAAATTGCAGATGCCCACAGACGCTGGCTCATGGCCTTCTCACCCTAGAGAAAGGAAAATATGTGACTGTCTTACCTGGCACTCTTCTTTGATCAGGGAAAACAATTTTAGGCAACGGGACAGCTTATTAAGGGTACCATTTGCTGTATACAACCTAGATGGTTTACAAACCATCTTTACCTCCAGGATCAATTCCATATCTGCAATATTCAAACTTTCACCTGTGTATTTCCCTTTCAATGGCTCCAAGTGTCACATGAGCCAAATGTTTTAGACAAGATATTTTTAGATCCAAATGCAAATGAATTTGAAATGCTTATATCCTATTACAATTGGCCCTTTAACAACACAGATTGGACCTGCACAGGTTCACTTACTTATACGTAGATTTTGTCAATAAATACACGTTGGCTATTCTTACCCTCCAGTTTCACATTTTCAGATTCAACCAAACACAGATCAAAACAGTATTTTCAATCCACAGTTTTGAATTCGCAGTAGAGAGCTAACTGTATGCACTGCTCAACACCGTTTTATACGGTGCCTTTATATAAGGCACTTGAGCGTCGATGAATTTTGGTATCCTCAGGGGTCCTGGAAACAATCCCCTATGAATACCCAAGGTCAACGGTAGTTGAGTTTTGGGGGCACCAAAAGTTATATGTGGATTTTTTACTGCATGGGGGTCAGTACCTCTAAACCCCATGTTGTTCAAGGGTCAAATGTAGTTCAATTTGAAACTGAAATTCCAAGAGAGAAAAAATATGCAGGTGTGCTATGGACACATGCAAAATAAACAGTTCACAAAGAAAGAACAGACTTGGCCCTCACATTTGCAATGAAGTTTCTCCTTTCCTTGTAACTGCTGTTTATTCTAATGGACATTCTTGTCAAATGGTATATAATAAAACATTTTCAAAATAAAAAAGGTTAAAATTTGGTGGGAATCTCTGATTTCTGACTTGATAGCTATGGGATTAAAAAGACTTATGTAGAGAAAAGCTGAAGCAGTTAACGAAAGGGGAAAATGGAATTTTCTAACTACATTTTATTTCAAATGGATAGGACAGAATAAAAAATCTCATTAAATAAATGAAAAGTTACCAACTGTCTTTGACTCCTCCTGCCCATGTTTCAATAAGCACCTGGGACCATTTGCTTCTTTGCTTTATAGACACAGAGTAAAATACCTTTATGTCAGGAAATTGGCCCAGATAGGTATCCAGTGTCAGCAGGGATCCATCCACTAGTTTTTGATGGAAGTCTTCCCCTGAAATCTCACATTTCTAAAAAAAAAAAAAAAAACAAAAAAACAGAGAGAGATAACTGAATACCTTTCACTAAACTTCCAAAAAATTCTGAAACTAAAAAATTAGATAACTAGCCCTGACTGGTTTGGCTCAGTGGATAGAGCGCCGGCCTGCGGACTTGAGGGTCCCAGGTTCGATTCCAGTCAAGGGCATATACCTTGGTTGCGGGCACATCCCCGGTGGGGAGTGTGCAGGAGGCAGCTGGTCGATGTTTCTCTCTCATCGATGTTTCTAGCTCTCTATCCCTCTCCCTTCCTCTCTGTAAAAAAATCAATAAAATATATTTTTAAAAATTAGATAACTAGATAGATGCTAGAAAGAATGTGGATTGTTTAATAATACAATAAAATTTCTAGGCTGTTTGGCTACCAGTTCTAAATGACAATACAGGTTATTTAAAGGTTTAGCTCATTAACAAGTTCCTGATGCTGAATTATAAAGAATGTTGACTTCGACCAGCTCAGTGATTGAGCATTGACCTATGAACCAGGAGGTCACGGTTCAATTCCCAGTCAGGGCACATGCCCAGGGTGCAGGAGGCAACCGATCAATGATTCTCTCTCTCCCTCTCTCTTTCTCTCTAAAATCAATAAAAATATATTTTTAAAAAAGAATGTAGATCCCCACATTCTTCACAGGCGACCTTTGGGACTGTGAAGAATTTCACGTAGACTGCTTCCAAAGCCTTCCAGGAAATCAGAAACCACTTCAAACAAACAATAAACCATTGCTGAAGCTTCCACAGAGAGAAAAGAAAATTTACAGTCATAATGGAAAAGCACCTTCCGATTATGATAAAGACACAATGAATATCTAAAATTATTGTCATTATTATTATTATTATTATTATTATTCCTACTACGATTCCTATGTATAGGCATTGGGTTAAATCAGTGGTTTTCAACCTGTTTCATCTTTGGCACACATAAATTACTAAAATTCTGTGGCACACCAAAAATATATATATTTGCTGATCTGACAAAAATAGGTATAATTTTGATTCATTCACACAGGTGGCTATTATTGTGTAGGCTGTTGTTAATTTTTTTGACAGTCTAAGAAAAAAAAGGTCAGTGCCTCTGACTAAATAGGTACTGCATGTTTTACAAATTCTTGCAGCACACCGGTTGAGGTACACCAATTGAAAATCACTGGGTTAAATACGAATGCATGTACGCACATGTCATCTGATTCTCACAATAGCTTTATGAGGAAAGTCTTATTGTTGCCATTACACAAAAGAGAATACTGAAGCCCAGAGATGTTACATACCTGTGTATGTACATGGTGCCTGTGAATGTACATGGTGTCTGTCCCCTCATGATTAAGGCTGAGAAGTGGTAAGAGGGAGTCGGGGAACAGGCTGCGTGAGCAGCATTCGGTGGGAGACTCACAGAAGCCCCCCGAGGCCTCCTGTGTGGGGCCATCCTGGCTCTTACCTCACCAACCGTCTTCACATCTTCCCGCCCATACCAATCAGGCTCATAGACTTCGTGCAGCGACTCGGTGAGCTTCATCGAGGCTTCTTGCATGCCTGGTGTTGGAGAAAAGCAACTCCTGTTAGATAGAAACAGGTGAGGAATTTCTTCCTCCTTCCAAGTGAGAGAAAAATCTTTGTTAATCATTTAAGCAAAAATTGTGGAGGCACAACTGCTAATTGCATCTGTAATTATATCTTTGCTTGAGGGTCTATAAGACTTATCTGACTATAGTGTGCATTTTCTGTTATTTACGTGATAATGATAGATATCAGGTCTTGACAATATGAACCAGGTGTCCTATTCTGAAAACAACAATAATAAAAATATGTCTTATTATGTGTGCTGTCACTTGCTAAACAGCATGGAACCATAAATGAATAGGACACCTAGAATACTTGTCCATAAAACTACAGACTCCTAAAAATGAAATTAATTTAAATGACGTTAAATACAAGAAATAAAGCATTTTTTAGAAGCAGATAGAAGCAAAATCAATACAATTTTAGGACATAACCGTTGAAACTGGTTTAAGTGGCCTAACAATTTTTAAAGGGGAAAAGAAAAGGTTTTCTTTTTCCAATATTATTAAAATCTATATATACTGTTTTAAATCAGAACACTTTTAACTCTATGGGTCAGAATCCTTAGTAGAAAGACATTTGACTATTAATAATAAGAAAGATATAAAGTTTCCAGGTGCAACATGGTGATATAAATGACCACCAAACCTTTTCTACCCCTCCTTCAAAACAAGGAGGTGAAGTGTGGGTTGCCATGGAGACAGCTCCGCCTGAGAACAAATAAGGGGCAATCATTGGCTGCAGACTTGGAGAAGTGCCTCTCCAGCACCAGCGGGAAGGGGTTACCGGGCTGATGGCTTCTTGGCCTTTGTCATGAGGGGAGAGGAAAAGGGGCTGGACAGAGGGAGAGCAGAGGACAACAGAGTGCTGTCATCGGAAGCAAAAACACATCTCATAACTCAATGCCAGTGAATCAAAGATAGAAAAGTTTTTGTTAAACAAAGCTGCAGCCGTCTAGACTCAGCCCCATGCTGGCTGGATTTTGGGGAGTCCATTCTGGGTTCAGTCGTGACAGGAAAAACAAAACAGAAGAAGATGTCTGAAATGACAGAAGTATGTCCTTGCATAGGATGTATAAAAGTCAGTATGTGATTGGTAGTTCCTAGTGCTTTTTCGCTCTCCAGGCGCAGAACACCCCCACTTCCCTCCCCCTGAAAAGGTGATTCCGATTTGGTCTTTGCACATTACTGGTTGGAATGTGACCCAGGGCCAGGCCTCGCTCCATGAAGCACATCACTGAGCATGTCGAAGGAGCCCTTTACCACAGGCGGAAACACCTTAACACGAGAGGAAGCCCAGGCAGGCAAGGTGGGAAAAACAGTGATGACCCCAGTTCCTGCGGACTCCGATGGAACGAGAGTCTTGAAGGTGTGCGGAAAGCCAAACATCATGCCAACAGCTGCATGGGTCCCCAGCGCGTGAGGTGCTCTCTCTTGTACGTGTGGTCATTGTGAGGTGGCAGCACCATGATCTCAGGTTTCCACCATCGCACCCCCCTAAGTACAAGAGTCTGCACTAACAACGTACCCCTGCAATTCAGACCACATTAGTCACTGGATGACTCCCTTCCATGTGCAAGTCTTCTGAAGTTTTTTCCTTACAAATAGCTGTTTAGATAGGTTATTAATGCCTTAGTAGGAAGAAAAGGGAATAATGGTATCACAGGACAAATAACCTTTGTGGTAAAAATAAAACTGCGAATGTAAGCTTAAAATAAAATTCATATGACCTTACTCATTGAGGTTAAAAGCAAAATGTTGCAGTAAATATGTCTAGCAGCCAAAAATAACCACTAATGGCTGTGTGGCTCAGTATGATGGACAATTTGGAAAGAATCTGTTTTGACATAGAAATTGTTTCTAGAACATTCTATACAAAGTACTGGAAGGATGTGCAAGTGAACAAGACACACGCCTTGCTCTTAAGGAGCATAGAGACTGACAGGGAGATTTCAGGGACTCGGAATTCACTCTGCTGACAGATATAAGAGGAAAAAAGCTAAAACCTGTTTCCTTTAATCCCATTTGGTGACATTAAAGCAGAATAGACGCTATGTGACATTTAATAATATCTAATAGCTAACATTTTCTTAAAAGATTTGTGATTTTCGTAGAAGAATTCTGTTTTACTATTAGATAAGGACCACTTCCCTCTCTTCAGAATTTTGGACTTTCTCCAAGGCATTTATTGTAACAATCTCTATTTATATTTGCAACCAAATCTGTGTCTCTCTTTATCATCAAAGATATGTTGCATAGATTACACTGCTACCTGAATCCTCTTTGCTTAAGCTGCCTAAGGGTATATGTTTTAGTTAAAAACAATATCAATTAAAACGATAACCAACAACAGCTATAAACCACCAATAGAATATCTGAAATATTGTAAGTTTTACCCATTGTTTAGAAAAGAGTTGTTTAAGATGACAGGGGTTGCTTCACGTAAAAGGAAGTGTTTAGAGCAGTGGTTCTCAACCTTCCTAATGCCGCGACCCTTTAATACAGTTCCTCATGTTGTGGTGACCCCCAACCATAAAATTATTTTCGTTGCTACTTCATAACTGTAATTTTGCTACTGTTATGAATTGTAATGTAAATATCTGATATGCAGGATGTATTTTCATTGTTACAAACTGAACATATTTAAAGCAGAGTGATTAATCACAAAAACAATATGTAATTATAGATGTGTTTTCCCATGGTCTTAGGCGAACCCCGTGAAAGGGTCGTTCGACCCCCAAAGGGGTCGCGACCCTCAGGTTGAGAACCGCTGACTTAGAGACAGATGTTATGTGTTCATTATCCCTGTGTCTGTCCTCCTCCCCTCCCCATATGCCAGTGAGTCCTCACTTCAGATCCCCGCTTGGATGTCGTACCAGTACCTCTAACTTCCCTGTCAAAACCTGCTCCTCCTCCTCTTCCCCATCCTCATGAATATTGCCCAGTGTTCCCAGTTAGAAACATGGAGGACCTCTTCCTTTCATCCTCCTACTGAACTTGTCGGCGAGACAAGCCAGTTCTGCCTGATTCTCAGATGAAGTCCCTTCCTTCCAGGCCCACTGCCACAGCCCTCAAAAGGCACCCATCATCTCTTACTTAGATGAGATAAAATAATCCACGCAAACAGTTGAGCAAGTACCTAACACACTGCAAACAGTCAAATGCCAGCCTTCATAAAAACTACTTTTGGAGGCAGTATGGCATGGTAATTAAGATTATTATTTGCAATCAATCGGCCTTTATTAAAATCTTGGTTCCATCATACACCATCTGTGCGATCTTAGGCAAATTACCTAGCTACCCTAAATCTCGTTTTTCCAAAGCATACATTACTGAGCAATAATAGGACTTGCCACAGGTTGCAGTGAGAATCACATGAAGTTAAACAGTTAAAGCTTATGTCAGTGCCTCACACATAAGAGCTCAATAAATGTTGGCTATTATTCTTATTGTGTTAGAATTCTATGTTTCCTTGGAGTTTCATTTCCTCTAGCCTGAATTCCAAACAACCACAACAATTATTTTTCTAAAATGCTAATCTGATCACATCACTCATTCCCTTGCCTGTAATAATGTAATGACACTCTTCCCTCCCACTGGCAGAATAAACTCCCAATATAATGTAACATACGAGCACCTCTTTCTACATATGCTGCCTACGTTTCCACGTCTCATGCAGCTGTTTCCTGCTTGCCCCTCACTAATCTACTTGTTCCCTAAAGAGCCCCTGGTCCTTCCTGCTTCCGGAGCTTTTGTACATGATGCTCCTTCCAGTACCAACCTCTTTCTCTGGTATATCTTACAACCTGATGACCGGGTATGTTCTCTTTCTTGGTCCACTCAAGTGTAAGTTCCTAGGAAAGACAATTCCTGACCTGGCATCCTGTCCCTCACGTAGTAGAGTGGGGCTCTGCCCTCTGTTGTGATGGCACATATGTGGACAGAGCTGACTCCATTTTGAAAAACTGAGTCCATCTTGAATCTAATACACCAGCTTAATTGTTGAGGGAATGTGCCCTAACCTTTGACCCCTGAGTAGACTCTGGAATATGTACCATGGTTTCGGGCTAGTCACAGAATTTCCATTACTCCTTCCTCTGGGGCAAGGAGCCTCGTTGTTATCTCCCTCATTAGTTCACCCTAACCCCACACACTCCTTTCCTAGTACCTAGCCCCACCTCAAGGCAGAATAAGAGGGTGGTCTAGAGAAGAAGAAAGTTGTAGAATAGGAATGTCCTGCCACCACCCAGGACCCATTTCAGTAAGTAAGTTCCCTATCAAATTCTCTAAATCGACAAGCTGGACTTGTCTGCCTGGTTCTTGGGTCTCTTGGCTCCTTCAGCGTCTGGGTGCCACTTGGCACACGCAGCCTTTTCACAGAACAGCACACAATGCTTACTTCTGTTGAAATGCGTATTATGATGCACATCTGCCTTTTTGTTTATTCAACTTTCTCCCCATCTCTCCTGCAGGTTCCCCAACAGCAGGCTGTGTCTTGTTCATCTCTCATCTCCATCCTCTAAAAAGGTGTCAGGCCCATAACTGAGGCTCAATGTGATGGCTGCTGCTAAAATGAATGAGAGCATAAGATCTACCTTAAAAAGCCCAAGAATGGGCCTAAGATAAGTGATGATGAGTAGAGCTTAGCCCAATTTCACAGAATCCCAGTGGTAGAGATTTGGGGGCTTCTAAGAGCAAGTGGAGGACTTTACAGATGAGAGACTCGGTGGTTTTCCCACGATGGTTCCTTTGGAATATCTTATAACCTGATGGTATGTATATCTTATAACCTCTCCAGGGCCCGATCTCGTTCCTCTCTAATCCTGCCTGCAGTATTAGGTGGCTAGATTTCTTTCTGTGAAAACAGAAAAATTGGCCATGAAAGCACTTTGAAAATGCAAATTGTGATCTACTTATCATATAACCCTCATCTTTCAGCGTGTTCCCCAAACCCCACAATGTGCTCCAAGAAATTCTAACTGTAAGATTTTGAAAAGAAAAAAGTATCCCACAGTCAAATAACTGGGAAATGCCTCCTACTCCATTAGGCCCTCTGGCAATTGCATTGATATGTTAAGGGTTCTGATAAACTCTGTAGTAACCTGTGTAAAAATTCGTTTTAGCCAATCTTGGTCAAAGTAATGTACACCTGAGTTTCTTTTGTGGAGTACCATTTGTTAACATCATCCAGTCAGTGAGAGGCGATGGCAGGTGGGGGGTGGGGGAGTGGGGGGACAGGGAAGTCCTTTCTCCCTCTTTTGGAGCCGTGGCCATTAGCAGCGGGGTGAAAGGCTGCTTTGATGATCCGCCCAGTGTCTCTCTGAGCTCACCCTTCACTAAGGGACTTTCCTTCTAGACCCCGTTAAGGAAAAGAATTCTGCCAGTCTTCTTAAACAGCATTCTCCACAAAGTGGTAAACTAGACCAAAATATATACATGTTGAGGAAGAGATCCAATTCGCTCAATCAACAAATGTTTCCACCTTTTATAAAACCAGCTAACAGAAAGAAAATTCTGTGTTTGAAATATTATCTAACTAATCCTAAACCAATAATTAAAGAAATTCATAGAGTGCCTCCTATTTTCTGACTGGACTATTCTAATAATAATAGTTGAGGCTAATTCTTTAGTGCAGTTAATCATGAAGTTTGGAAGTTTGTGGGAGTAAAATTCTCTGAGCTTTACTTCTTTGCAAATGAAAACCAAGACTAATGTCCGCCTTGGCCGGGGGCTCAGTTAGTTGAAGCATCATGCCATGCACACAAGGGCTGCAGGTTCAATTCCCAGTCAAGGGCATTACCTGGCTTGCAGGTTTGATACCCAGCGTGTGCGGGCAACCAGTCAGTGTGTCTCTCCCAAGTTGATGTTGATGTCTCTCTCTCTGTCTCTCCCTCCCTCTCTCTGCCCCCTCTTCCTCCCTCCCTTCCACTCTCTCTAAAAATCAATGGAAAAAATATCCTTGGGTGAGGATTAATTTTTAAAAAAAAGACTTTTGCCAAACTGCTCTCTTGAAAGGGGTCTGCTCCCTACAACTTCGCTGATGCCAGGTATTATGTTTTCATTTCTATTTAGTGTCTTTAAACATTAGGAAGAAAAATAAAATCACCTTCCTTTTGGTTTTATTTATACATCTATAATTCTTTCAACTCATCATCATTTAGTTTACTTACTGAGCTCCTTATATTTTGGTTCATTTTCATTAAGTGTGTTGCCTAAATAATTTTTAAACATACATATATCAGTTTTATATACTTATAAGGTTAAATTTCTCAGTCTTTTCCTTTATGTTTTTTGTCTTTGGGTTACCATGGTAAAGACCTTGTCACCCAAGATTAGAGACTAAGTCTATTTTATTTCATCTTATTTTATTATTTTAGAATACCTCTTTGTACATGTATTTACATTTTAACTATATTTGGAGTTAAAAAGAAGGGAGTAGAGTATGAGGATGGGAACCTCACTTTTTTCTGAGTGTTTAGCCAGTTTATCCAAGACCCCTTGTGAGACAATCCATTCTCTCCCCACTAATCTCAAAATGTTCCTTGTGATCTATCACACCCGTGGGTACACTAGGATCTGACCCCGTGCTGGGAGCTGGATAACACATGGCAGGAAGCAATGGAACCCTCATCCCTAATGCTCTCTCCTCCCTCCACCACTGGCCTCATTTCTTTGCTTCTTATGGCTGAAGCAGAAACCAATGCCAGCGCCCCTCTCTCTCCATACAGTGGCAGGGGTACAGGTGTGGCTGGTCTCCACTAATCACAGACAGTCCAGGGCTGTGATTCCTGATAATTCTCCACCCCTGTCTCTGCCACGATTCTTGCCCCTTTCAACTAGAGCAGCAGTCGCCAACTGGTGGTCCATGGACCACTGGTGGTCCGTGAGGTCTGAAAGCTTGGTGACCGCTGAACTAGAGGGCTGAAGTGTGACTCTGTGAGTGTTCTCCTGGGACTCTCACTGACACCCTAGAGCCGTGGTCGGCAAACCACGGCTGGCGAGCCACATGAGGCTCTTTGGCCCCTTCAGTGTGGCTCTTCCACAAAATACCGACTTCTGCACATGGGCCACGAAGTTTCAATCACACTGTACGTGCGCGCCCACATGTGGTATTTTGTGGAAGAGCCACACTCAAGGGGCCAAAGAGCCACATGTGGCTTTCGATCCGGTTTGCCGACCACTATCCTGGGACATGCTCTCGCTCAGGGTTTAAACCAAATGCAGCTTTTCTTAAACAAGCTCTCGAGCTTGCTCTCACAACTCTTCCTAGAAATCTCTTGCATGTGGGAGGCACTTATTTCTAGTTTCCAGCATCAGGGCAGGCATATAGAGTGTCCCCAAATATGTATACACACACTTTGAATAATTATAAAGGCAGCGTTTCTTAAAATACATTGCAGTTTCAGAATTAAGCTATCAGCTGTGAAAGTGTGTGTACATTTTAGGGGACACCCTGTATTGTTTTTCTTTGTATATTCTGATGATCACTCCAGTGGGGATTTGGGAGTGGGTGGATTGGAACACCTGTGATCAAGTGCCATCTTGCCAGAAAGCCAAATGGTGGTGTAATTAACACTCAGTCTTGTCACTCGTGAATTCCAAGAACAACCTGTGCTTGTAGCATTCTGTAAACAACGCACACACGTTACCTTTGATAGCTGCTAAGTACCCTCGGAGTTCCCGCTGAAGTCTGGTACCCTCGGCCTGAAAAACACACAAAGAGATGCTGAGTAGTTTGTCTGTACGCTGCATTGGAACATGTACAAAGCAGTAAGTGTCGGAATTATTATTGCCAGAGGCTCATTCTTGAAGGAACATAAATATGTAGAGCCCAGCTGCTGTGGCCCAGGGGTTGAGCGTCAACCCAGGAATGAAGAGGTCTCTGGTTCCATTGCACATGCCAGAGTTGCAGGCTCGATCCCCAGTAGGGGGCATGAGGCAGCCAATGGATGATGTTTCTCTCTCATAGATGTCTCTATCTCTCTATCCCTCTCCCTTCCTTTCTCTCTCTTAAACTCAATAAAACCATATTAAAAATATGTGGACACAGATTAAACAAGATGCCTATTAAGTCTAGATATTTACAGGTATTTTATTCAGTTTAAAAGAAAAGGGCAAAGCAAGCACAATTTTTCTAAGAATGGAAACTGTGGCCCACCATAAGGTTCTTACATATTCAAGAGCTAGCAAGTCTCTAAGTTTTGACACATGGTTATGACAGTTGGAAATTGATCACCACTGTCCAATATGGTAGCCACTAGCTACATGTGGCTGTTCAGTGCTTGCAACATGACTAGTCTGAACGGAGATGCATTATAAGTGTAAAATCCACACCTGATTTTAGGGACTTTATACAAAAAAGTCATTAATATATTTTATATTAATTGTGTGTTAAATCAATATTTTGGATACACGGAGTTAAACAATTGGGGTATTAAAATTAATTTCACCTGTTTCTGTTCACTTTTTAAAATGTGAACACTAGAAGAATTTAAATTACGTATGTGGTTTGCATTATATTTCTTTTGGACATAATCAGAATAGAGAAATTGGTAAAATGTAAATTTTGACATATGAATCTTAGTTTTGTTTTGGATTACCCTTAGAAATTCTGAGACTCTGAGATTAGGATTAGATTGCAAGTAGTTGAATATGGAGGTAACCCAGGAAATGCCAACAGGGGCATGGAGAAGTGAAGAGGGGAAGAGCGAGAGCCATCACAGGTGCATTATCAAGCAAGTTACCCCGGTGGTTCTTTGTCCCTCTGGGGAATTCTGGGAGACAGTGTCAAACCCTATAGATATCCTCAGTGAGGGGCAAAGAAGCTTAGGCATTCATCCATCAGCTCCTGACAGTCACTGGTTGAGAACTGCTCCTGGGACATGATTCCCCCAATATGTCCACACAAGGGCAGAGAGGTCTCCAGTTACCAGAAAAAATCCTCAGGCAAAAAGTTTCCCTTGCTGGCAGTTGCAACTAGATCTAGTGGGCTCAGAAAAGGTAGGTGCTGGGGCATATGTCTGGCATCCACAGTGTGTGCTTTCACTACACCTGAAAATATAAAAGTATATGTACTTTAATTGCATAATTATTTAACAAAATTGCAGAGAGCTAGCATACTGAATGACTCCACTTTGATAATTAATAATATAGCATCTATATTATAACTCTAACTTGATCGTTAATAATATAGTTAATAACATAGCAACTCTAATAGTCATAAATAAATAAACAATTATTTGTTAGTATTTACCAAGAAGCAGGGAGGGATGAAGGGAAAATACCTACTTCCTTCAGTGAATTATAATCTAGTAGGGGAATTAAAATATCTAAATAGAAAACTACACAGTAGATTATATTTAGCTCTGCAACAGCCATGCAAAATGTTTAGAGGACAAAGCAAAGAAAAATATTCATCAAATTTAAAGGTAGTGATGCATACAAAGAAACTCTGAAAAGAAGTGTTTAAGACAGGGGAACGTCCACAGGCCACATAAGGCCCACAAAATCACTTGGTCTGGCCCTGCCAAGGCATTAGAGATGAGTTAATTAAATGTTTGACCAAATATAGCAGGCTAATTTTTAAATTGGTAATTTTGTATGACCTGCAAATGATGTTATAAATATCCAAATGGCCCTTGGCAGAATAAAGGTTCCACATGCCTGGTTTAATATTATGCTGGTCCCCCAAAGGGATTCTATATAAGTATATTTTCCTAATATAGTACAGATATAGTGACATTATTTTTATGAAATATATGTAAAGCTCAGGTGAGGTTTCCTTTTTCTGCATTAAGCTCTAGCTATTTCTGTCAGCTCTGTAAATCCAAGTACTACCAGATAAAAGCTTAGGCTTAATTCATTTGCTAGCACATAATGGACTTCAACCAGAATGGTTCTATTCAGGATGCTAAAGCAGTAATCATCAAAGTTCTAAACAACTGACTCCCTTTCTCATCTCTAAACATGGTTTAAAATAAAAACTCTAGATTTCCCTTGTCTTGCTGAGCCATTTAGAAATGTAGTGTGAGGCAAATTGCCATGAGCTACCCCAGTGATGGCGAACCTATGACACACGAACTCATTTTTTGGTTGATTTTTCTTTGTTAAATGGCATTTAAATATATAAAATAAATATCAAAAATATGTCGTTGTTTTACTATGGTTGCAAATATCAAAAAATTTTCTATATGTGACACAACACCAGAGTTAAGTTAGGGTTTTTCAAAATGCTGACACGCCGAGCTCAAAAGGTTCGCCATCACTGAGCTAGACAATAATAATAATAACAACAACCCAGGTTGGTTTTCCAAAACATCAAAGTGTAGTGGGAAACTGTAGTAGAGAAAGGATGAGGAGAATAAAGAGAAAATGCTGATGATAAACACTTGTAAAGATAATGAAAGAGTCAGGCCAAGGTCTGCAACATCACTACAAAAAGTCAGAATTTGGGGAATAAAGAAACAGGTCTTTCTGCTACTATCTATGATATGACGGGCACTGTGCTAGATTCTGAATACATGAAATTTTGAAAAGCAATGGCTCTGGGATACTTTATTCTTGTCACATCTACACTGCATCTTTCTTCCAGATCTGTTTTGGGGGAGGATTCTACATTCTTCCCCACTAATATCAAACTTGGCTGTGGGACTTGCCATGTGAGGGGAAGTGGGGTGCGGCCTCTGAGCATCATAGTCTTACCACCTCTTTGCCTACCGAGAGCCCCGGGCTATTCCAGAGAGGGGTTACTTCTCCATCATGGGTCAGAGAGCACAGGCAGCATGAGGCGCATCTACCCTTCACATTTTCTTAAGTGAGAAATAAACATCTGTTGTTCAAAGCCACAGAGGTATTGCTACTACACCATAACCTACCCAAACAACCTGATATAATGGTTCGCCATCAACAGTGGAAACGCTGAAAGATGGAGGTTGAAATCTAACAGAAGGAAAAAGCCAGTGGAATGAGTGAGCAGAAGAGCACTAAAGGCATTTACAGAAACATTTCAGAAAGGAAATCAAATTGGGAAGATCAAAGAGAAAGTGGATGGCTTAGGAAATTGAAGCTCTAGTGCTGGTCAAGTGATGGAAAGAGGAAGAATGGTTCGGAGAGAGGACAGCAAGACCCAGAACCATTTGTCACAACAGACGGCAAATAATTTAGAGATTTAGTATCTGTAATTAGATATGTGATTTACCTGGACAGATCCAGACCAACTGGAAGCCTAAAGCCCTAAAAGGTACAATTGGGATTTAAATAGGGTTGGGATCCCTTAAGGCAGTGGTTCTCAACCTTCCTCATGCCGCCACCCTTTAATACAGTTCCTCATGTGGTGGTGACCCCCAACCATAAAATTATTTTTGTTGCTACTTCATAACTGTAATTTTGCTACTGTTATGAATCGTCATGTAAATATCTGATATGCTATCTGTGTTTTCCGATGTTCGCAACCCACAGGTTGAGAACCGCTGCTAAGGCCACATTTCTCTAAGTGGTTAAGTGTAGACCTTGGGGGTACTAAATGGCTTGCCTAGGGCACATGCAGCCACAAAATAAACCTACAGAATCTCTCTGGAACAACGATTTATTGAGGCTGAAGGGGAGCAAATGGGGAGAAACCGTTATTTTATAACCACTGTGCCACCTGTTGTGATGTAGAAAGAAAAACTGCATAGAGATGAAAAACAGAACTTCCCAGACATCTCCTGCTTTCTGCTGTCTGCTGTAGGGCCTCTGCTCTACCACTGCCCATGGGCCATCCCTGAAAAATTTGAGAGGCCCTGAGCTAAGACAGGGCTCACTTCTCACCCTAAAGGATGTTTTCCCCTCAGAAAGTAATACAAAGCCAACTATGGTATGGCCATAAGTCACCACAATTGTCCAGAATATCTGGAAATAGCAAAGGAGTAGTGGAGAAGGGTATTCTTCTCCTAACTATTGAAGGAATAAAGCATGTCAAATTATGCCCACAATTAAGCCATTGGTTTTTCTTTCAGAACAAGAAAGAGAATGATTCATCCAGCCCAAAGAAACAATAACCATTTTTTAAATTAAATAAGAATCCCAAGAAGAGATTTTTTTAGCTATAAGAGTGGAAGAAAGTTCAAATTGTGCAATAATGGCTTCAACAGATGAGTGCAATTTAAGTAGATAAAATTAAGTTCATTTAAATAACCTTCTTCCTGCCCTGGCCTGATGGTTCTTTTGGTTAGAGCATCCCTGTACACCAAAAAAAAAGGTTGTTGGTTGGATTCCAGATCAGGGCAAATACCTAGGTTGAGGGTTTGATCCCCAGTTGGGGTATGTACGGGGCGGGGGGTGGGGGGGGCGTGGACCAATCAATGTCTCTATCACATTGATGTTTCTCTCTTTCTCTCTCTCTCTCCTTCCCTTTCTCTACAATCAATAAAAACATATCCTTAGGTGAGGAGTAAAATAACTTTCTTTTTTTCTAATTATTAAAATTCATAATTTTCCCCCTGAGCATGAAGGTTCATAAATCATTTGGTAATAACCATATTAAATTGCACTTATATTTATCTGAGTCCAAAAAAGTAAGAGACTCTCGAGAGAAATGTTCACCTCCTAGAATATGCCACAGAGTAGTCCTGCACAAAACCTATTGCACAATAAAGTTTTAACACCATTATTCTATGTGAGTTATAAGACGTTTTATGTTTGAAATAAATTCTTATAGCACTGCT